GTGCTATCCGTTGTCTGTCGCTCCCTTGCCCTTATGCAAGAACATTGTCAGCAAATTTCACTATCCTTCCAACACCTGGTGCTTCAATTTTGCTTGTATACACATTGAAGAGCACCGGTGAAATTGCAGAAGACTGGGTAGTCCCGTGAATGCAGGACTACTGCCTTCCAGTTCACAAGCCAGGGACAAACCCCCTTCCCCATGAGTGCAGATATCAAAATATCATATTTGACTCAATTGTAGACATCTTCAAGATCAAGTGCTGCCACAAATGTCTCTTGTCTGTTCTGGAACCCTTTATAAACATACACAAGTATCTGTATTAGACGATTTATCTTTCCGTGGCCGGTAACTACCCAAACCTTTTGACAGCAGCTCTTCCCTTTCCAAAAACATTTCTAGTTTAACAGCAATAATCTTCTCTAGCGCCTTGCCAAAAGTATTTTGTAGGGTGATAAATCCTGAAATAATCTGTGTCTGGTTTTGGAAGAGAGAAGGGGGGGGGGGGGGGGGGGTCAGGTAACTGTACCCAATCCTTGGGTACTGAAGCTGTTCTGATGCTCTGGTCGAAGTGAAATGCCATCTCCTTCAAGTCATCGTCACTCATGCTATTCATGTGGGCAAACCTCACTCCGTCTGGCCCCGGCGCAGTGTCTTTTGCTTTTTTGCAATTCATATTTCATATCCTCCACCCTAATGATATCCTGAAAATAACTATCATTTGTAGTATTAGACAGATTAAATGAATTTCTAAGATCCCTATCAATATGATCAGTTTGGGTTATAAATCTCTTTAAAAATGCTTCCCCCTTCTCTTTGTCTGTTGTCATCGGCATACCATTATCATTGTATATAAAGCCCTGTTGTGTTAGGCCGATCCTCCCTTTGCATCTGTCTGTGCAGTTTCCAAAACCTACCCAGTGATTTATCCCTTCCAATTTAGCTCATAAAATGTTTCCTTCTGCTGCCCAACTCATAAACTTTTCTATTTTCTTGTCTAAATTTTTCTAGCTTCTCTACATCCCTCTTGTAACCCGTGAAGTGCCTTTCGCACTTGCTGTAATTGTTTAACTGCTGCTCGCTTTGCTCTCCATGCCTGTTCTGCTTCTTGGGTCCACAGTGGAGGCCGCACAAAAGCAGAGGTGTTAGTTCTGCTGCATACCTTCTGTCGAAGGCCTCCAAGAAGGGTATGGGCCCTCTCATACTTGCGGTTTTCATAGCCCTGATTTTGCTAGCTTTAGAAATCAAGACTGAGCATGGCATATGGTCACTACCATGATCGCATAGGACACTCTTTTTTGTGACTGCTGCTGACTGGGTAACACACGCCAAATCTATGGCTGTATCTGTATCACCAGGTCTCTTAGCCATTCTAGTTGGCCTACCATCGTTTATATAGACTACGTCTGCATTCACTATAGCCTCCGCTAAAGAATCTGCCCCCCCCCCCCCCATTACTGTCCCATGCTCTGTTCCGCGCGTTAAAACCTCTACAAATGAGAAGCCTATTACCAGGGATTTCCTCCAACTCTTTGAGCCAGTCCGAATGTTCCTTTGTGACAAGAGAGTCAACCGCAGCGTAAACATTTACTATATTATATGTTGTTTCCCCATTATCTATCTGTATACCCTGAACCTCTAGTGTACTATGATTCCACTGGCCCAGGCCAAGAACCACATGTTTCAACCTATTCTTCACCAGCAGACATTGCCCATACCTTTCCTGTCCGGTATGATTTGTATAACCAAGGACAATCATATCTATGTTTAATTCCTGCAGCATAATGATATCAAAGTCATAAATCAGTCTCTCCAGTACAGGTCCTCTGTGCTTGGCACTACGACAATTCCAGTAACCAACTCCATTATGTTTTAATCCCAGACGCTCCGTTTTTCGCTTGACTCTCTGGGCTCCGGCTCTCCGATTTCTATGCCGTTTTCTCTCTCCATGTCCTCGTCTTCTCCTCTTTCCACTCTCTCCGTTGCCACCTGAAGATGGTATCAAGCACAGAGTACGCATCCGTAGCTCCGGCAATTATTCTTTTTATTATTGAGTACAAAATCCATGACTTTGATTTTATTTGATTCAAGAACCGGCATCACGGCACTCGGGGCATTCCCATAAGCGCTCCGCCCCCATCTTCAGCAGCCAGCGAAGAGTTCCGATACTAATGGTGCCAGTAGCTTTCTGATTAAACGTCTGTCTTGCCTTTCCTCTGAGCCTTGAGCTTCTGCCAGAACCTCTCGTCACCCCCAACTGCATCAATCTTACCAGACTGTGGTTACAAAATCCATGAAAGGTATTCTTTTAATGCAGGAACGAAACGGTCACCCTAGATTGCCTGCTTGCTAGGGAAGAGGCAGGGATGTCCTAAGCGAGTCCATACGCCTGGCTTAGGGTTTTTAAATTGAGGTTGTCCCCTCTACATCCGTTGTGTTTTGTGCCTCTTCGATCACGCACAATTGTCTTGACTGTAAAAGGGTTCTCCTGATCAAGGGGTTAACCAAATTCTCAAGACAGAGAACACTGATGTGCCCCACTGCGCGAGAGATCGGACATCATCAGCCTGGATCTCTGATCCTTGTGTATTTCGGTGCACAACAATATCGGTGCCATATTCTCTTTTAGTTTATCCATGTTGCTAAGGGCTTGAGACGGGTGATATCTGCAGCAATGAACCTCGAGGGCTCAGAATGCCGAAGAAAGAAATAAAACTTATATACAAGCAGCTGCCATTATACTTGTATAATGATACAGGTATAGTTGTAATAATCAAACAAGAAAAATAACAGCTCCAACAAGAACTATATTTTGAACATGGTGTGTGGAATCGTGAGCAGTCGCGCCAACACAAATAAAACCATGACAAAGTTGGCGGTGCTACAACGGCCTGGCATAACCTGCTGTTCTGTGCGAGTAAGGGTTGACTAAGCAATCAGGCCACTCTATGAATACATTCTGATAGAATAAGAATCCATTTACGCAAAAAAGTCTCGGTACTACTCACAAAAGTCACACATTTTTCGTACTGCTGCGACAGTTCGTGGCTGCCTTATGTTCTAGAGGTGTTATGAGTACCCAAAGATACTTGTTTGGCACATAATGACAGTTACTTAGTTGGGTTATCATCATTGCACTTCGGACATGTTCATAGGTGCTCAGATCCTCCCCTCAGTATGAACCCCAACGTCCGATGGCTAATAGTACCAGTTCTATGTTGATGAACAAGTCGTCTGGTGTGCATCTCGTTTTTTGCTATGCTGTTCTTAATTCCCAAGTCTGCCATTCTGGCGAGTGATGTGGATTCACTGACCCCAAAATCATCTATCCTTCCCATTTCTTCGAGGGCAAGATCCATAGGCTGACCGTCGGTAGTGATAGCGGATCCAGCCAACCTGTCAGCTCTTTCATTTCCATCGACGCCTGCGTGTCCCGGAACAAAAGTAAAGGTGACTCCACGCACAGTGGACTTCTGTAATGATTCAGGCCATTGTCTGTGCACCGAACCTGCCTGAACCATCCACATCATACTCGTTGAATCATTATGACGATGACATTTAACATAATGACAATATAACTGCAATACTCATGCAATGCATCTGTAGACTGTTTTACCATTGGATTGAACTCTGCTGTGGTTTCATGGATGGAATCCAGTCCACCTCATTTGGCCTGTCTCATCACTTTTCCTTTTAGGGTTACTTTTGGGCATCTTGGATTCATCAATCCCTTTACTGGTGATTTTCAAGTCGGGATGTGTCCAACATAGCGTCATCTTCTTTGTCTTATGGCTGTTCCCTCTGATTGCCCAGACTTTACTCTTATTCCATCACTTCTCTTGAATTCATCCCCTTTTGTGTTCAACAATCTCCTCAAACATTTGTTTTCAAATGCATTTAACTTTCTTTCCAATGTCTTTTATTGGTTCTTCATAGTTCACCAGCATTTGTAAAACTGAAATGTTAGAACTGAAAATACGCGATTTGGTTTTTTAAACCGCTTAGTTTTCCATATTTTGTTAAGGCTTTCAAAAGCTGCGGATGCCTTGTCAAATCCCAGATACAACATTCAACCTCTAAAGAAGTTATAATCAGGGTACTCGTGGCGGTTACAACAGGCTGGCATAATCTATAGTTCTGTGCAGCTAAGTTTTGGACGTGGTTGAATTCTTTTCCTAACCTCAACTGACGTGGATTTATTGCAGTGTTCTTCATGTTATAAAATTCAGTTTTGGCCTGTCATATTCTATTCTGTATCTCTGTGATACATCATCCATCGAATATTATCTATGTACTTGTCCTAAAAAACGCCTTAGACTTTTATTATGCATTTAGGCACTATTCTTTTCTTGGAAATCACCATTACTTCTGTCTTTTCATTATTAAAACTGAGGCCCATTTTATCACTTTCTACCACCACCGTATCTATCAATTCCTGCAGTCACCAATGCACCTTCTTCTTCTCTTCCCCCTTGTACCTCAGTCAAGTAAAATGTAAAAGTTTGTTCTTGTTCTATAAGTTTATTCCCACCATGAATCTGAATGAGAAAGCCAGTCACAGAGATGAATGGCGGCGGATGTTACCTGCAGCAATGAGCCTCGAGGGCTTAGAATGCTGAAGAACATAAAATCTAGTTCTGTCTCCAGAACTCTCTGCTGTTTATTTCTAGATGCATAAACTGTGGATCCCGGGTATGCGAAATTGTCAAATTTAATGACGATTGCAGGTCCATCAACTGTTCCACCTGCATACCTTCATACCAGAGGGAACCTCTTATCACGGGCTCCTCACATTCATTCAGAAATGCATGGTCATGTGATCACTACGTAATGCGCAATGGCGGTGCGCAAATTGTTAGTAATGGCTGCCAGCGTATCTGAATATGATGGAGAACAGTATATATTTTAGTTTGTAACTTCCTAGTAGTGTAATTTGTCAATAAATAACTATGGGTTTCTCAAAAGTTATCTAGCCGTCGGTTTTTCCTAGCCCGTATGGGATGGCGGGGAGGAAGAAAGGCGGTTATGATGGCAAAATTGCCGGCTTGTACGATCTGGAGGAGACAATCGGGCAGGGTCATTTCGCTGTTGTGAAGCTTGCGAGACATGTATTTACGGGTGAAAAAGTCGCAGTCAAAGTCATCGACAAACAGAAGCTTGATGACATCTCACGGTCACATCTTTTTCAAGAAGTCAGGTGCATGAAGCTGGTGCAGCATCCAAATGTCGTGCGTCTATACGAAGTTATTGACACCCAGACGAAGCTGTACCTCATCCTGGAGCTGGGCGATGGAGATATGTACGACTACATCATGAAACACAACGATGGATTAGACGAAGTCCTAGCCAAAAAGTACTTCCGCCAGATTGTGGAGGCAATATTGTACTGTCACAGGCTGCACGTAGTTCACAGAGATTTAAAGCCAGAAAATGTGGTGTTTTTTAATAAGCTGGGACTGGTCAAGCTCACGGATTTTGGGTTCAGCAATGTGTTTGCTCCAGGTAAAAAACTGGAGACGTCCTGTGGGTCGCTAGCATATTCTGCCCCAGAAATTCTTCTTGGAGACTCATATGATCCACCAGCAGTTGGTAAGGAGCTGTTGTGTTGTCATCGTAAACACACATACTGTCTGCTGTTAGTAGATATTGTTATATGAAATAAAGATAAGGTCATGTGTTAATAACTTTATATTATGATACATTCAGTATTGCAGCTCATAGTTCTTCTCTTCACCGTGTGTCCAGTTTCTCCAAAAGGCAAATTTGGAATAGTTAAAAAAATGCAGAGAATTTTACTCATAAAACCATTACTGAAAACATAACCCCTCCCACCCCTTTCTCCTCAACACAACCCTTTCTAACTCCAGCCCCATTTTTATCCTTACATTTGATTGTTTCTAATGAATTAAAGCGCATATCCCTCTCATGCGCCATAGATAATGTCTTAAATGAGCATAAATTGAGCTGACAAGGATGTTAGTGGACCCTAGCGACGCAGTGCTCAGAAATCCTCTGGCCGTCATCAACCCACCCTGAATACATGGGTAAAAATGTCTATCAGATCTAGTTTGGAACATGATTAAAGCCCGCAAGCTGAAAATACTACTTAGTGACAACCCTTGGTTAAAGCGTCTGTTGAGTGATAGAACTACTAAAGTGCTGAGACTTATCCCTGGACCAAGAGATTTACTTGCAGCTTAGCTGAGCAACATTCCCTGTAAGTAGTTTCTTGTTGTAGAGTCCTGTCTTCACACACTTTTTTTCGACCCTCAGTGTTGTGGCCACCACATTGAGGTACACCATGACAAATCTTCCATGGTCAGTCAGCTGATTAGGTTCAAATGACCGTCAGAAATATGTTCTGTGACCTAAAAGCAGTCTTAAATGTCTGACCAACAAAAAAAATGCTGTTTTTGGCAGTAGGGATCAGTTGTCTGTTACCCTCGACCTTACTGGCCAGAGTGTCTGGACCAAATAAGTAAAGCCTTGCCTGATGCATGCTTAACCATATTGTCATGCTAGGTGTCTAGATGAAACAAAGTTAGAGGGTCTAATGTGCTAATAAAGAATGTACATATTTATGTGGTCACCGAAGTCCCAGATCTGCGGCCTGATTGCCTGATCTCTAGAGGGCGCAGCCAGCATCGAGTGGAAAGCTCAACACACTGATTTGAGGTTAAGCAGTCATTTGCAGGATGTGACGATTCCTTGATTGAGCCTAGGACCAGAGCGTCATGTGTTGGCTGTGCATTGATGGAACTCTCCTTGGATGGTTGGGAATGCCCATGATCTGCCCTGCATTTCCTTGAGGGCTGACAAGTCTACACAAGGTTGCTGTAGACAGGCTCTTAAGGAACAACACTGGATTAGGAGATAAAAAGAACATGACATGCACAAGGCTACAGTATGTTCCACAAATTAGACTACATTGTGTTCCACAAAAAAGGCTACGTTGTGTTCCACAAATGAGACTACATTGTGTTCCACAAAAAAAGGCTACATTGTGTTCCACAAATAAGGCTACGTTGTGTTCCACAAAAAAGGTTACATTGTGTTCCACAAATAAGGCTATGCTGTGTTCCACAAAAAAGGCTACATTGTGTTCCATAAATAAGGCTATGCTGTGTTCCACAAAAAAGGCTACATTGTGTTCCACAAAAATGGCTAAGTTGTGTTTCACAAATTAGACTACATTGGGTTCCACAAATAAGGCTATGTTGTGTTCCACAGATAAGGCTACCTTGTGTTCCACAAAAAAGACTATGTTGTGTTCCACAAATAAGGCTACGTTGTGTTCCACAAATAAGGCTACATTATGTTCCACAAATTAGACTACATTGGGTTTCACAACTATCTGGGAAGTTATTCTTGTCAATAAAGTCAGATTTGTTGGCTAAAAGGCCCCAATATCTCACTTTGCTGTAAACAGGCACAAAGCCATTACGTCACTTGGACGGACAAAAGGAATAAGAACTATGGTTTAAGTTTTAATCCACTAAATTTTTCAACTGCAAGGTCTTCTCAACTTACGACCAAGTTCACTTCCAGCAGGTCGTAAGTTGAACTGGTTCAATTTATATTTTTTACTTACTAAAAAAAAATTCATAGGGATTAAAATTGTACATAAAACGCAAAATGTCAGTATGTTTTGTTATAATAATTGTACATAATGCGAAAAATACATAATATGTACTCTATTGTATAAGTTATGGAAACACTTTGATCCTACCGGTGTACTTATCTTACTTTGTGTACTTTTTTTTTAATGTGTTCGTAAGTGCGGATGGTCTAAGTCACATGGGTCACAAGTCAAAGAGAAGGTGTACTTCTGTAACAAGCAAATATGTGTATGGTTAACTCTTTTTCTTGTGTCTCATGTATCTGTTTCTTTTGTTTAGTTTATGCAAACCATGCATCACAGAGTACTGAGCAAGAAGGGAAATGTTCACTGCACTAACGTAGACTGTAATAACATTACATGACATAACTAACTGCATTGCGAAATTCTTTGCAATCATTGCATAGGGATTTGTGTACACCTTAGGACATGGTCTCTTGTGAACTTGTCATGCAAGTACTTGTGATCCTTTGTAGTATCCCAGCCTCAGCCTTGTCAGAATTGATTCAAATATCTCCATCTGCTGTTCTTAACAGTGCAAAATAGTTGAAATATTAAATTATTTAGTGAACAAGTAGAGTGAATAGATCATCACACTCTGGAGGTTAATGCAATGGAAAGTGACCAAAGGGATCCCGCGAACACTTAGTGGTGTACTTTACTATATTATACCGCATCCCAATGTCGGACACAATTAACGCCCTGGCTGTTGCCGAGGGCCCTAATATAACCCAACTTGTGGGTTGAAAAGGGTTTCTGAGACCTGTCCCTGGGTGATCCTCATCCAAATGGTAGCACTTTGTGTCACCGGGTGTTTATCACTCAATGTGATGTCCTGGTGGGGTTGAACATCAGTCAGTGCTGAGAGGAAAGACAAGATGGACATATAATCAGATTTGCTACTGGCATAATTGATATTGACTCCACTAAGACCGGTCCCAAGGCTGGCTGTAAAAGGAGGAGGGTCTGGCTGAACCTGAGTGCTTCATGCTTTATGTGTCTCCGGAAGTTGTTGGTAATCTTGAATCAGCCAGACAGCCTGCATGGAGGCCGCAAGGAGGCAGCCCCTCCACTATGCAAAGGCACAACAGGCCAATCACCTGTTTGCCTTAAACTATGATTGCAAGTTACCACAGAGAGAAAACCGGACGGATCTTAACGGGGATGAACTGGCATGGCTTACGGACTATGATTTATGGAACATAGAAGATAAAAGGCATTAACAGGAAGGAAAACAAGTTAGTAGGGGAGATGGGGAAAGCGGAATTGGGAATCTTGGCTCTGACTGAAACCAAGAAAATGGGGCAAGGAATCACAGATCACGATGGAAGTATGCTGCTCTATAGTGGTGTCCTTATGGCGGAGAGAGCCAAGGGAGGTGTTGGCTGTTTGTGTCCAGGAATCAAGTTAGGAACATCAAGGGAAGGGAATTAATCTCGGAGTGAAGAGTAGATATCAAAGAAGAATTCTTTGAACTGCTCCAAAGGACCATAGATGTGACTGTCATGATGAAATTATCCTCTTAGAAGATCTAAATGCCAGAGTAGGAAATGATCACTCTAGATGGGGTGGAGTGATTGTAAGAGGCCAATAATTTAGTGCTTAATGCAAAACAGAAATCATGGGAAGAGTTTGGAGAAAAGTTGAAAAAGTATATATTTAAAAAAAATCAATAACTGTTCTAAAAGACCCTCAAGAACACGAGGAAGGAGAAAGAGTGCCCACTGTAATTCATAAAAGACAAGGAAGGGGCTCTGCTTACTGCTACATATAATATCATGGACAGATGAAAAGAATACTTCTCAGAGCTCCTTGGTGTTGAATGTCATGACCCAGAAATAACGGTCCTCACTACTAAGAAGGAAATCATCAATAGGGATGATAACATCAGGATGGAAGAATTGAAGGCAGCTATTAAGAAGATTAAGCTGGGAAAAGCAGCAGGTCATGATGGTATAACAACAGAGATGGTCAAATATATGGGAGTCGCAGGTGATCAACTTCTGCTGAGGTTCTTCAGGCAGCCTAGTGTAGCAAAACTTTACCAAAAGATTGGGAGATTGCCATCTTATTACCTATATTTAAAAAGGGTGATAACAGACAGTGTGTGAAAACCACAGAGGCATATCCCTCCTCAGCATTCCTGGTAAAAGTTACTCTAGCATTCTCGAGCAGAGACTTAGAAGTCTGGTAGAGCCACAGCTGGATCAGGTTCAGTGTGGCTTCAGAGCAAACTGAAGTACTCAAAACCTTAACTACACACTGAGACAGATAAGTTTTAAAAAAAACCTTGAATATAAGAGTTAGATGCACCTGTGTTTTTTGGATCTAGAAAAGGCATTTGATTAGGTTCCCTGGAACAAACTTTGGGACATTTGCAGGGAAAAACTTTCTAGCACCCCTGATCAGTGCAGTACATAGTTTCTACAAAAGTCAGAAGAATTTAAGACCACTAGCGGTGTTAGACAAGGTGATATTCTCTTACCTTACTTTTTCATTCTTATGATGGATGATGTACACCTGTAAGGAGAAGACAAAGATGTACTCATTGGATTGCTGGAAGATAAGGCCACTCTTTATGCCAGAGCTGGCATTTGCAGACGATGTGGCCCTGATAGCTAAATCAGAGGCACACCTTCAGTCCAACTTACCTGTCTGGAAGGAAGAACTTAAGAAAAGAGGGATGACCATCAGTGTCTCCAAAATTAAAACCATGGTGATCTCAAGAGAGGAGAAGAAACACCAGATCATGATGGGACAGTATGCATTGGAGCAGGTCAACCAGTTCAAATACCTTGGAGTTGTATTAGACCGAAATGGAGGCATTAAGACTGAGCTGGCTATACTAAAAGCAGCTCTTGGAGACTCTTCCAGGCCATTAAGCGAGGGTTTCTTAGCAAAATATAAATTGGCAAGAGGACAAAAGTGGCTGTTTACTGCTCTACCTATGTACCAGTCCTGACCTATGGGTAATTACAACAGCTCACAGAAGCTTCAGGTCTAAAAAATAAGATAATGAGAAAGGTGGTCCAAGTGGCAAGAAGGGACAAAGTCCGCAATCAGACAATATGTCAAGATCTTGATACCCAGTCCTTTAAACCCGAGTGCATCAGTCACAGTTACGATGGCTTAGACATAAATGCATGTGGTAAAAAATTGACCACCATGGCAGGCATGGGAGGCTAAGAACCAGGGCACCAGACCTCCAGGGCGACCCAGGGTCCTCTGGGAAGACAACCTCCGACAGTCCATAACTGACATAAGACTGGAATGGAACAAAGCCAGAAAGAAAACTGCTGATAGAGACGTCTGTCTGGTGATCTCTCTGGCAAACTCTATACCCCAAGGTAGAAGAGAAGTGACTAAGTAAAGTAGTCAGTAAGGAAAGTCACTGTCTTTCTGGGCTCGAAAACATGACTTGTTCTATATATATATATATATATGAAAAAGTTAAGGCCTCAACTATCTGAGGAAATGTTAAGAAGGGATTTGATGTCATACAGTACTGACTTAATCTCAGCTAACAAGTTATTACATAATCAGTTAATTGTAGTTCCCACTGCATAGCAAACTAATCACCACATAGTTGCCCTGTTTCTGTGCCAATGAAAACCACACAGAATGTTGATCACTGTCCCTTGGGGAAACAAATGGACCCAGACTGCAGTCTCAGCAAAACTGGAGCATACTCATGCATTAAAAGCAAAGGCAGCCACCAAAAGTACCAACACAAACATTGTGGTTTTTTTCTCTTCTTTTATGAAAAGCTGGTCTTCTGAATAAATTATCTTCCTTTTGTGGGTTCTGGGACTCCATTTTAGAGAACAGAGAATAGACCCACTGCCCCCCTATGATGCAGGTCGTAGGAGGTGACTAAAAACACTAAAATCATCATCATCATCATCATGTAGCAGGTCCTTTGCAGAACGTCGCTCTCATCACAGTCCTTAAAGAAACTCAGTCTTTTACCAGTTCTCCTGCCTTATGTACTTTCATACTCAAGGAGTCACTTATATCCTATGCTCATCTTCGTGTCGTTCGGCCCCTGCCCCTCTTTCCTGGTACCATGCCTTAAAATTTTTTCCAGTCTTCCTTGATGTTCAGATCTTTTAAGATGTCAGTATTTCTCTTCTTTGTCCAAGATATACTGAGAAATCTCTATAGCATTTCAGCTCAAAAGCCCCTATTCTCATTCTTAAGGACTGAGAGATAGTCCACGACTCACATCCGTATGTAGCCACAGAGAAGATGCATGCTCTCAAAATTCTAATTTTGATCTCCTTGCTAGTGCTTAACCATAGACTTTTAAGGCTGTTCATTGCTATGGCCATCCTCCTTTTAATTTCTGTCGAACAGTCTTCATTGCTGTTTATTATAGAGCCTAGATATTCAAGTTTGTGACATTTTCAATTTCTTCATCATTTATTGTTATTTTTGGGTGACAGCCAGTTTTATCTGTGGACATTATTTTCGTTTTCTTAAAATTCAAGAACAGATTTTGATCTTTACTGAGCTTTTGGACAGACAATATTGAATTTTTTGTTCCCTCCACGCTGTTCGAAAGGAGGACTGTGTCATCTGCGTAGCGAATTTCCGGAATAAGATTGCCACAAATTTTGAGCGGATGATAACTGTCACAAGTCTTGTCATTTTTGATATTTCTCATTATATTTTATGCGTATATATTGAATAGGCATGGTGAGAGAATGCACCCCTGCCTCACCCCCTTTTGCACCTTGAACCAATCCGATGTTTCACCAGCTGCTCTGATGGCTGCTTGTTGTTCATAATAAAGATTTTAAATTAAATGCACTAAATGCGCAAGAAACCCCATACTTCTCATAATAGTCCACAGTTTGTGGTGTTGGACACAATGAAACAAGCATGAAGATTTGCGTTGTATTCTCTGCATTTTTCAAAAATTATTCTCATATTAATGTGATCCCTAGTTCCTCTACCCTGTCTGAAACCCGCTTGTGCTTCTATTAGCTCATATTGTAATTTCCTTTCATTCCTCTTCATGATAATTCGTTAGAGGATTTTGCTAGCATGACTTATTAATGCGATGGTATGGTAGTTTAAGCATAGTTTCAGATTTCCTTTCTTTGGGATAGGGATATAGATTGTTCTTTTCCACGCTTTAGGCCAAATGCCACTGTTCCAGATCTTCTAGCACAGTGCATGGTAGATTCGGACGCTGGCCTCTCCTCCTGCTTTAATAAGTTCTGCTGGTATTTCGTCGCAACCTGGTGACTTTCCTTTCTTCAGGCTGTGTATTGCTGATCGTACCTCATCCAGTAAAGGCTCTGGTTCTTTTTCATAACTTTCACAAGTTGTTTTTGAATTACTTATCACATCCTCATACATTTCTCTACAGTATTCTTTCCATCTTTCTAATGTCTTTAGTTTCCGTTAATGTGTTACCGTTTTTATCACTTATAGACTAAAACCAGCGACTCGAAAAGAGGATGCTGGCTACCCTAAATTAAAAATGCCTGAACCTTAACTATTATAGAAGTTTTGATTAATCCATCAGTGTCCACAATTGTCCAAACTGTAATGTTGAATGTGTGATTAATGAAAGCATAAGTAAATCCTTTCCTTCATATAATGCAAGCAGTTTAGAACAAATTTGTTTTAAAAATTAGAATTCCTGAATGTTTGTAGTTATATTGACATTGTTAATGTTTTCTGTCAGGAATTTCTTATAACTGTTTAGGACATATATTTTATCAATCTGAGTGAAAGGTGTATATTGCCCTGTTAAACATACCTCAGCATTTAAAGCATTATTTTTACCTGTAGTTTGGCAGATTATTATAATTGCCATAGAACTCTCAGGTCGACCCAACATAAAATCCACCAGTGACAGGAAAAGGGTCGAGCATCTGCCAGAACCTCTCATCACTCCTCCCTGCATCAGTCTCACCAGACTGTGGTGATCCATCTGCTCCTCCGAACTGTACACTCTCTCCCACAAGGCGCTAACCACGTCTGCCTTATCATGTATCAGTATTCCACAAAGTTGAAATTAGTTGTAGCAGTACAACAGTTTCTGACATACCAGACAAAACAGGTGGTGATGTTCCTGTTTGTCCATCTGTCAATATTTTCACAGCGTTTGACTGATAGTCTTCCACTAATCCAGCCCATGCAGTAGTTTTACCTACTACTTTCCCTTCGCTCAGATATCCATTCATTTATTGGTTTACCCAGTGCCCTTGAAATGTTCTTAAAATTAGTTGCATATTCTGTTCAAGACATAACCATTTATTAGCGGTTGTATGGGTTTTCTCATGAAAAGATATCAAACAAGATAAGAGGTAGAACCAGTAAGCTTCACATTATCACAAATACAAATGACAAGTGAACGTTGTGGCTAGAGAGCCTTCATCAGCCTACAACATGAATATCCAATACCACAAACACGAACAGAACTACAAAAAATGACTTCCCCTCTCTGACGGGAATCACAAATCTGTTTGACCAGCTGAATCTCTGGTACATGCATGACCACAGCAAATAAATGCTAGCTAGGAAGAATTTTGTGAATGGCAAGGGCTGTAACTAAGAATTATTAAATGTGGGTTTTCTAGCCACTTTCACATTCAGTAATTTGCATGTGCTGTCTTAATGATACAGCATTCATCATGTTGTCAAAATCAGTGCAAAGTTGTTGATTCCAAAATTTCCTCCAGCTGATTCAAACCCCAGTATAGCTACATTCGCAACTCTTGCTCTTCTCATAACACGACCAGCAAGTGCTGATTGTCTTGTCATTAAAATTATTTAATAACTTGGGATGCAGAGATGATAAACACATGTATTGTTGCCTGAGGGGCAGCTGGCCAAGCCGTTAAGGGCACAAGGCTCTCATACAGGAGCCCTGGGTTTGAATCTTCAGTAGGGTTGGAATTTTCTTTCTGCCGGGTGCCAAAAATAAAATCCTTACCTGAACAGTCCGTGGCGACAGCACTAGGCATGCAACCCTAAATCCTCAGGGTCAGAGATCCCCCCCCCCCCCTACCTACACCGGAAAAGTGGTAAATAAAGTTCTAATGGCATTTTGTTTAAAAAATTGGAAAACCAAGGCACAAACTGGTCAGGACCTATCTACACCTCTTGGTGGTCACTTAGAAACAGATTCTCAGCTGGGGACCTGTAGGTAGGATCGACGTTCACTTCAGAGTCAGATTGTACCTACCTGAAAGGCAAGTGTCATGGATGAACAACCAGGACTTTCCGCTGAAATTCACAGAAAGAATAATAATAATAAGTTAATTTCTCCTGTGGGTTCCGGGGCCCAGTTTTGGCAAAAACAAGAATAGACCCACTGCCTGCCCAAAAGCATGTCATAAGAGTCGATTAATTGGGAGTTTCCTTCAAAGTCCTTCAGAATTCATTTGCCTGAGAGGCAAGGAACCAACAGTCTGCATGCAAATGAGTCAGACCTGTGAAATGGATGTACTCAGGTTCTGGAACAGGACTAGAGTCCAGAAGTGGACGAACAACCATAACCTTTCAACAGAGCTTACAGCCAGTGAACAAAGAAGAAGAAGAAAATTAAAAATGCAGAAATTTGGTAACATGATTGATACTTATGTCTTGGATGTACATATTTTTCAGATGTGTGGAGTCTTGGAGTCATTCTTTTCATGCTCGTAGCAGGTAGACCACCATTTCAGGAGGCTAATGACAGTGAGACCCTGACTATGATTATGGACTGCAAGTATCAGATACCGTCTCATGTTTCAGATTCATGCAGGAAGTGAGTACCATTTCCTGTAACTTTCAACTTTGTGTATTTTCACTCATTATAAGGTAATGTTTTGTGTTAGGTCAAGTTCAAGGTCTGATTTTAAAGGCCTGTGTCATACTTAGTTATGGTGATTGGCTAATATAAGTTAGACCAGACAGCTTTTGATAAGATTTGGAAGGAGGGGCTGCTTAAGAAATTGAGCAACTATAAAATGAATGGAAGAATGTATAATTGGATTAAAGCATACCTACATGACTGTGTTTTCAAGAGTAAAAAAAAGTCCTCCTGCGACACGGCGTCCCCCAAGGCGGGGTTCTTTTCCCACACTTTTTTTCTTATACGTTAGTGACCTGGTTGCTGAAATATCAAATGGAATCAAAATGGTAATATGTACGCCAATGACCTGCTACTGTGGTGCTCCAATGAACATGCAGCGGTAGCAACAAGATAAGTGCAGCGAGCTACAGATACAATTGGGGCATGGGTGAATAGATGGTGTGTTAACATCAACACCGACAAATGTAGCACCACATTCTTCACCCTCTCACCAAAGCAAAATTACGCATCATCGCAATAAACAGAATACCCCTAAGAAATTATAAAGAGCCCACGTACCTCACAGTCACATTTATTGAAGTTTGACATGGAGAAAACACATCAACAAGGCAGCAACCAAAGACAGGAGGAAGATAGCTACATATACGCCAGGACTGCACCCAATTTGATACATTAAGGCAGATCTTTTGGCCAGAAAGAACAACAGTGGCACGTAAACTATGGACCACTGAACAAACTAACAATGACAGTGACATTACGAGAAACTAAATTGCTGATATAGACAACTCATTTCAGGCGGACGAAAGAAGAAGAAGTCTTTGATGAGAATTGGAACTCATCAACTTCTTTTTCCTTTACCGCCACTACTGCCACTGTTAGGTTGTTGCTGCTGCTCCTTATTTGGTCTTTTCACCATGAAACAAAGCCCTTCAGATATGCAGCAGACTAATTCCTAATGTGGATTCTGGGGCCTTGTTGAGGGGTTCCCCTATTAAGCATGTTGTAAGAGGCGACTGATTATGGGTGTTTTCAAATGCATTTGGCTGAGAGGCTAGGAACCAACAAGCTGCATTAAAATACGTCAGATCTGAAAATTGAATGTGCATAAAAAGAACAATATCAAAGTCCAGAAGTGGATGAACAACCAGAACTTTCTGCTGGAATTCATAGATGGTGAATGCGAAGAAGAAGAAGCATAACTGTAATAACTAGGGCCACAGCAGTGCTAGCTGGTCCAGGGGACATAGGTTTGGAATCTCCATCAAGTTGTGTTTTCCAGAATTGACTTGGACTATCAGGTCGATTCAGCCTTAGCGTGGGTCTCAGGAAATATTCCTGAGAAATCACAAACACTTTAATTTTGACCATGCTAACCATTGAGTGCTGATTCTTCTTTCTTCCTTTGTTAAATGTCCACTTGGTGCTGCTAGGCGTCATAGTTTAACAGATGATTGGTAGTCAGGCTGGGATGTGCCTGGTATGCTGTGATGTTGGTAAGTCTTATGGGGTCAGTGGATCCTTCTATTCATCTTCTTGAAGGTCCTCCTCTACCTCTTTATGTTTCCATTCACATGTTTTACGCCCCCATAGCGGCAGCACTGTTTATCTTTGTTTGACAATGAATTTAAAAGTTGCTATTATTTCAGTAGTTCTTCTAACACAACCTCTTCTGGTTGTGTTTGCATTCTTTCTCAAACATTTAGTTTTTTAGATGGTCAGTTTTTTCTCATTTTCTCTGGTTAGCGTCCAGGTCTGGCACTGGTAGCCTACAATTTAAAAAAGAATTCATTTATAATTAGTATTTTTATCTTGGTTTTACTAGCTGGGTGTTTCAATATTGTGGCGATTTGATTTGTGATGTTACTGGCTTGTTGGATTCTTGTTTCCATCTCTCTCTCTAGTCTACCATCGTATGTAAGGATTTAACTCAAGCCTGACTAGCTCAAAATTTTCCCGGGTAGCGCCTTTGCTACTTTTTTCGATTTCCAACTTCCAAGAGATTTTTTTACGCGCGCAACAGTACACACAGGCATTGGATCTTGCTACTCAGAGACCAGGGAAAATTACTAGGTCCACATGAAAAAATCCCAGCCTTCACCAGGATTTGGCTCCGGGACTCCAGCACTCAAGGTGCATGCCATACCTAGAGACCACTCAGCCCCTCTTTCATCTTAAAATAATTTTCATTCTGATTTGTTGTTTTGTCTGATCCAGTTTGATATCAAAGATGCTTGTTCGAGATCCATCAAAACGCATTAGCTTAGAGGACATTGAACGACATAGGTGGCTGGCAAATGAAGATTGTGTTGACAATATGACAAGGATCAACCTGCCTCTTCTAACACGAGAACATGTATCCGAGGAGGACCACAATTATGTTGTCCAGAAAATGGTGGAGGGAAAAATTTGCTCAAGGGAGGAAATTTTACAGTAAGAAACTTCTATTGTTTGTTGTTGTTTTACCTATATAGATATATCTCATTAATTTAATTCATCATAATTTTACAGCAATAAGCTTTTTTGATTTTTATTAATTTTTTAAATTAAAAAACAAACAAAAAACTTTCTAGACATTTCTTATTAACTTTTTTCATCATCAGTGTTTGCATTCATAATGAGGAACAAACCTATTTTCTGAGAGATCGGGGCGTGGTATGACAAAAAATGTGTTGTACACCTTTGGTGGATCTTCACATCCTAGGGTGTGATCAGACCATGAGAGCTTTCACTTTGTGACTTTAGGAATATGAAAAAAGAAAGAACAAACAATAGATTGCACAATTTATTGCCTGGCATATTTCAGTTTATCACATCAGATGCATGCTTCAGTAATCATTGATTAAAATGATACAAATAAATGAATTCTTCTAACTTAAACACAAAATTAACTACATTCAAAAGTAACTGTTTCACAAGGGCAAATACAAGTGAACAACCATTTCCTTTTGTCTGCATAAGTTGAGTTGAGTCAAGAATTGACATTACAGCACTCAAGGCATTCCCATGTGTGCTCTGTCCTCATCTTCAGCAGCCAGCGCAGAGTTCCAATACTAATGGTACCGGTCACAATCTGGTTATATGTCCGTTTCCTTGTTTCTGAACTGATTCCATTGCTTATTCTCAAAGGGCCTTGACCACATCAGCCTTTTCATTACCCACTACGCTGGCATTGCCTGGAGAAAAGATCCAAAGTATGCTCACTACCCATGACCTTCTCAATGAAGCTTACCAATGAAGTTTGCCACTCTGCTCGAAGCATCCCTGTTTTTACCTTTCTCAGCGTGCCTTCAGATTCTGTTACAATTACAAAATATGTTGGCATCCTGTTCTCTAGCCACCGGAGAGCTGTAGTTACTGCCTCCACCTCCATTCTCATGCTAGATGTTGTGACGTCGTATGCTAGGCTGTCTTGCACTAAAGATTTTCCATTGGCTTTTGCTACGAACCCCCAGGCACTTCTCTTTCCTCGCAACACCGAACCATCTGTATAGATAATCAGATCACCTTGGCGTGAATTGTCGTGAATCAACTGTTGGACTTCAACCTCTGTAGCACCCGCTGGCCACTCTCTGCACTCCCGGCCCAATGTGATCATAACCCTAGGTCTGACTTTTGCGCTGGTACTCTGACTCACTCCTCTCCTCGCCAAATGTTCTCCAGCGTGCATACTTGTCTAATTGGCTTGAGCCATCCACAATTTCCCCCTTTTCAGCCTCTGCATAACTGTGGACTGAACTGGTTTATTGTTGTGGCTTTCATAATATATGTATCTCACCATTCTGCAGTTGTTTGAGATATACCGAATTTGAAATGCGCCATCATTCTTTACAGTTTGACCAAAATTCAGAAGGTGGCGTGTGATGAATGACAGGAGATCTTGTCACATTTTAAGAATACTTTTTCCTCTTCTTCTTCTCCTCCTCCCCTCCTCCTCCTCTGCCTTTTCTTTTTCTTTATCATCATCAGCCCTTAAAAGAATGCTGGCACATTGTTTTGTGGTTTACAGCTAGGCTGTGATATCTGCACCTTTCGACTTAGCACATCCAATTTCAGCAAAATCCTAATTTGTTGCTTCTTATGACATGCTTGTTCGGGGTAGTGGGTCCCTTCATTTTTTTTCCCAAATCAGTGAATATTAACAGTAGAGTGTTGCATGTTTCAGCTCCTTGGACCGTGATGCCTATGACCACATTGCTGCCACTTACTACCTTTTAGTGGAGCGACGGCTACGTAAACTCCAGCAGCAAGAGGCAGCTGCAATGGAGGCACATGCTAGAAGCATGCAGAAAATGATGCCATCAACCAGCATAGCTGCAGTCAACAAACCACGTCTTGAGCCTCTCATGTTATCACCTCGGTGGGTACAATTATTTTTGCTCTGGGGAAATTAATTATTCTTTCTGTGCAGACTTTTTAGAGTAAAATAATAGTCTTTAGTTACAGAAGGATAATTTAGCGAAATATTAACTACCTCAGAATATAGATATTTTAACTAATGACCCAGCTAAAATGATGCCTGGCATATTTGCTTGTTTGGTGCCTTACCGCACTGTTACATTTACATCAACATATATTGATGCACAAAAACATGAAGCTCTGAAATTGAAATATACAGGTCACATTGTCTCTCATTACACTGTACATGACATCTTGTAAGTCTAAGATTTAATCATATGTTCTTTTTGTTTATATGCATTTTGAAATAAATGTTGGAATCAAATTATAAAAGAGAAACAAGAAATGTTTGTTGATAAAAGGAAGTTACTTTCTTATATGAATAGATAAGAGTTCTGCTGTGATAATTTACTGCAGTTATATATTTTCTACTTGATCTGCATCATACATAGCTTAAATCACGTTTTGAGAGCTTATATCCTCCTCTGTGGTTTGTCTTGTTTTTATTTGTTTCATATTTCAGCATACTGTTTCTGATCATGTTGTTGGTACTGTCTGTTTTTAATTACAGCATGCTAGCAATTTCTTATACATGATATATTAGCTTTGTGCATTAGTCTGTATAATCAGCTGTTTAGCGGACATTGTCAGGCTTGAGAAATCAAGTGGAGAACCTGAACTCTTTCAACTGAACAACACTGCCCTTATAGTTAGTTTCCTACTCAGTGGGGTAGCCTGTCTCAAGCAACCTTCCTTAGTCACCTTTTGTGACATGCTCGGTAGGCTACAGTGCAGATTTAGATATATAGGTGGAGGTTTGTTGATACTAACTGTGGTGAACAGCAGAATTTGTCCTGTCTACTTGTACATGTATATATACATATACGTTTTAGGTAATTGTTGCTGTCTGAGTGACTCTTTGTGTTCATTCTGTCTACATTCTGTTGCAGGGTTATGTTTACATTATGTTATATTGTGGCTGAGGTATATAATTATAGTAGTGATTATTTATTGATAATGGTTGGGTGCTGTCAGCGTTTGTTCTGTCCAGGTTTCACTGTCAACGTGATCAACATGTGCTTTGCCAGGCGGCTTAGCGCTGATGTCTCTCATTAGATCTCGGTCCTTAGTGTTTTGAATCAGTTCAGCTGATGATGTTCTTCCATTTTTCGGGCTGTCAAGCATCTCTCTCTCTTAGCCTGCCTCGGCCTCTTCTACTGTTGATCTTCCCAGTCATTACGGTGTTCTCCAGTGCCTTTCTTCTCATCTTTCTTATATTAGATTTCGCTATAGTTGTATTAATTTAATGTTGGTTGGTTGATGCACAGTGTTTGTTGTCTACATGTATATATGTTAATATTTGTTTGTTGTCATCTGGGTAGTTGTAGTGCTCATTGTTTACATTCTGCCAAACTAATAGTGCTGATTTCTCGACACTGGCTGAGTACCTTCAATTTTTGTTGTCAGTATATCTTGTTTTGGGATTGATTAGTTGGTAATATTTGTGTTAACACAGTGTTAATTCTTTCTAAATTTAAATATAGATATATTAATGTTGTTGTTTCTGCCTCCTGTGTGGTCACGACATTTGTTCTGTTTCAGCGTAGTTATATTAGTGTTGGTTTTTTCATGCCCTCTTAGTGGTCACAGCATTTGTTTAGTCTATATTTCAGTGTAGATATTTTATTGTTGGTTTGTTGGTGCCTCTTGTGTGGTCACGACATTTGTTCTATCTATATTTCAGTGCAGATATGTTAGTGTTGGTTTGTTGGTGCCTCTTGTGTGGTCATGACATTTGTTCTATCTATATTTCAGGTTAGATAGGTTAGTGTTGGATTGTTGGTGCCTCTTGTGTGGTCACTGTATTTGTTCTATCTATATTTCAGGATAGATATGTTAGTGTTAGTTTTTGTGTGCCTCTTATGTGGTCACGACATTTGTTCTATCTATATTTCAGTGCAGATATGTTAGTGTTGGATTGTTGGTGCCTCTTGTGTGGTCATGACATTTGTTCTATCTATATTTCAGGATAGATATGTTAGTGTTAGTTTTTTTATGCCTCTTATGTGGCCACGACATTTGTTCTATCTATATTTCATTGCAGATATGTTAGTGTTGGATTGTTGGTGCCTCTTGTGTGGTCACGACATTTGTTCTATCTATATTTCAGGGTAGATATGTTAGTGTTAGTTTGTTGATGCCTCCTTTTGCGGTCATGACATTTGTTCTATCAGTATTTCAGTGTAAATATGCTAATGTTGGTTTGTGGGTGCCTCTTGTGTGATCACAGTATTTGTTCTGTGTATATTTCAGAGCTCATTTGTTGTCATTTGGGTGACTTTTGTTCTTTCTGTCTGTTTCCTTCTACTTGTACTAACTTTTCTCTCAGTTTTGAGGAAAAATAAATAGACTCTATGCCCCTAACAAGTATGCTGTAAAAGGCAGTTAGTAAATGGTTTGTTAAAATCCAGTATGTTGGGACTAGAGGTGCAGATATCGCAGCTGAGCTTCAAACCTCATCATGGCAGCCACTTTTTGTAATGGAGAACGCAGCAGAGAAGGATGTTAGTATTGGTTGCTTGATGCTCTCTGTATGGATGTAGTGTCTTTTGTGTCTGTATTTATATTTAGATAATCAGTGTTGTTTTGTTGATGTTGTGTAATCTACCTCAGCATTCATCTTGTTCACACTAACATATAGGTTTATTATTAATTATGTTGTTTTGTTGATGTCATTTTGGTGCTCGCAGTGTAAGTCTATTAGTGTAAGTTTCTTGGTATTTGCTGGGTAGTCGTAGATTTTAGTAAGTTTGTTGGTGAGGGCTGGGTGGTAGCACAGTTTGTTTTGTCCCCACAACATGTAAGTATTTTAGTGTAAGTTTGTTGGTAAGTGCTGGGTGATCTCAGAGTTTGTTTTGTCCACACAACACGTAAGTATTTTAGTGTAAGTTTGTTGGTGAGGGCTGGGTGATCCCAGAGTTTGTTTTGTCCACACAACATGAAAGTCTTTTAAATGTAAGTTTGTTGGCTGCGGCTGGGTGGTCGCAGCCTCAACTCTGTCCTTTGTCTTCATGTCTTTGCAAAGCAACTGCTCACTCTTCCTATTATGTTTTCAGTATAAGCCAGTTTTGTGAGACAGAATTTAGGAAAATATTTTGTTCGAATTATACGACATATTAACTTGGTTCTGTATTTCTTTCAGAATGTTTCTCTCTGAATAAAGTTATATCGTAATAATGTGTGACATTTTGTATTTATAATTTCACATGTGAAACTTTTCTGCATTTCTTTTTTTTTCTTCATTTTATTTAAATTTTTTTGTTTGTTTTTGCCTCCAAACCCTCTTGCATATCTGGAAGTGAGATGATAAGGGAAGGTTTGAAACTGTATCCTCCATTTATCTCATTCCTATATTTTACATCTAAACACAGTTAAATGATTTTTATTTTATGCTTTGAAACGGTTTTAGTTGATTTTCAGATATTCTTTTGAAGGAAGACAGTGTTCTTTTTGTAATTGTTTACCAGGAAAAAAAAAACATATTCAAGGCCTTTTTATTTGATTGATACTTTGTTTTCCCATGTCTTTTTTCGGAAATGATGCTAATAACACTTTTTGTTTTACCAAATGGCATTTGATTGATATGGCACAGTGGTAAACCTGGATACCATGTGCTCTAAAAGCTTCAGGGTCATTTTTGGACTGATATTTGATTCATGAGTACAGATTTTTGGGGGATTGCCAGGAACTAATGCTAGAGTTAAATATTTTGTGTGTTGCTCACAGCAGCAGACAGCTGTTTCTTCAAGAGAGACTGAGCAATAAGGGATGAAGCCCAGTGCAGTAAAATTGATCTAACACCTTTTAACTCCATTTTGATGAAAGATGTGCCCAGTGTCACCCTGATAATTCCTGCCTTCTATAAGAGTTTCTGGAATAATTTTTCATGAGGCTACAAGTCATGGACCAGGCTGGTATACTACTGAATGCTCTATGAGAAGTATAATGTTTGTGTGAACCAAGTGATGACTGAATCTGCAACCGTGACCAGACTGCCATAGCAAGACAAGAGTGTAATGCAGGAAACCAAATAAGAGTAAGAAATCAACACAGAACTGGTGATGTCAGTGGCTACATGCTCCAGGATTTACTGAGAAGGGGATCCAAATACTTATGGACTGAATGGTTTTGTGAGCAGTCAGGATAATCTGTTGACTAACTAGTTTATGAGGCTGTGTTAAAATTAGAGGCACAGACCATGGAACATTCCACATTGCTGCTTGGAGGTGAATTTGACCTCTGACCACTAGTCCAATAGGTTCATCTTCTGTTTTGTTTATGGATTATTACATTTTTCCTGTTGGCATTTTGTCCTCAATGAACATTACATCATCACCATCATCATCATCTTCACCATTTCCCTGTTGTGCTATTTATTTATCATATAGCACTTGCAGTCGACCTCTTCATTCTATTCTGATTGAACGTATTGGTGATACTTTTATTCATATTGAATATTTCCTGCATTCTTCTTTTTATGATTAAGTCCATCAAGTGGAGCCCAAAGGTATGCATATGTTCACATTCAGATGGTGTTTTTTAAATTTAACTTTTTTTTGGTGAAGTAAATTTTGTTTCAAAAGAATAAATACAGGTTTTTTTATAAAGAATTTTCACAATTTGTTACAGAATATTCACATTTCAGATATCGTTTTTTTATGATGTATACATGCCTGTGTTATCTCCCCTTTCCAGTAAGCAGAAAGACGTGAAAAAGACGAAAACTGCCCCCATCCATCCTATTGGTGTCACCTCACCGCCTACCCTTATTATAACCCCTCCCATTCTGAGCAGTTCTACCAACCCGACCATGGGGTTGCCTGTCAGTCCTGGCGGGTCGGAATTTGTCAAAAGTCTCACCACGAGCATGACCCTCGATCGCCGCAGCAATCAACGTAGACG